GGGGAAGGGCTGGAGTAGGGGAGGGGAAGGGCTGGAGCAGGGGAGGGGAAGGGCTGGAGTAGGGGAGAGGAAAACCCCTCCAAGGGGAAGCGGGGCTGGGAGAGGAGGCAGAAAGAGCCCAGGGGACACCAGGCATCCCTGGGCCACACAGGGCTGCCCCCGCCACTTCTGCACAAGCTGCCCTTGTCACTCTGCAACTCCTGGTCCTCACTCCCGCTTTCCGGAGTTCCTCGATCCTCAAGGGCGGTCTCTCACTGAAAACAATATGCCTGTTGGGGAAGGAAGGTTTTTTCTGTTTTCTTGTTTTGGTCAGGTGAGCTTTCCCAGGGCCTCCTGGTGACGCCTGTGTATCTGCAGCCTCGCTTGCCTGGCTGGGGCAGGGTTCCCGTTGACTCTCAGCCTCTAAGTGTCCGCAGCACCTCCCCCGCCTGCCTCCCTGCTGACGGCTGGGGTCTGAGCCCCGAGTGTCCTTGGCCAGGGGTGTGAGCCCTGAGTGTCCTTGGCCAGGGGGCTGGCTGTGCTCTCAGGAGCGCCTACTTCCTCACGGGTCCTGTGGTCTCCCCACGTCCTCTCCATGCCGTGTCCAGACCCACGCCACGGCCCTCGCTCACAGCGCTGGGGAAGGCGGAAGTGATGCTGCCCGGCAGAGCCCCAGGCTACGGGGCAGGTGGTCCTGAGCCACGTGGGGCAGGAGCATGGCACACAGGCCTTGTCCTTCTGGGCTGGACAAGGCCAGACCCTGGGGTGTCTGACTGGCCCCTTAGGACAGACACTGCCTCTCTCTCCCTGCAGGTGTGCTGTGCACACCTGTCACTCCTCACCTCCTCACCTGGCCATCAACTGGCCTGTTAGTAAGATGCCCGCTGGCTCCTGAAAATCATGGCTCCTGAAGGCTCTGCTCTTAAAAGCTGTCATCTTTTATACTTTCTCCACCTCAAGTGCTGTTGTTCACCCTGTTACAGTCACACCTCCTCTTGGCTTAAATAAAGCTGTGGAGCTGACGCTGGCTGTCCCCGTGTTGGGGACAGGAGAGAAAGCTGGCTTGGCAGCTGACAGGCAAGATCAAGGGGCCTAGTTAACAAAGAGAAACTCAGCTGGGACAGATGGAAAGTTCTTCAGTTGGGCCTTTCCTCCACAAAGACCTGCGTGGATCCATGCACAGGGAATGCGGGAATGTTGGAGACACTGCTCAAGATCCAAGTGACCTCGTGCCCTTCCCTGCTTCTAGGGCACTGATGGCCTCCAGCTGTACTCGGGGTAAGCTGTGTGCTCCTCCCACAGCCAACTGGAGCCGCTGTGCCAGCACCCTCTCCGGCGCCCCTCCTTCCCTGCTCACCACGCTCCTGCCACCATGCCCAGCCTTCAGCTGCCGGACCCCGCCCAGCCAGCTTCCTGCGTGCCCTCCCCTTGCTCTCCCTGCTTAGCCTCCTTCCTGTGCTTCTGGTCTCGGCTGAGATGTCACCTCTTTGGAGAGGCCTTCCCTGGCCACCGTATCTGAAGTGGCTCTCCTTCCTGCCATATTATCTGTTCTTTTTCTTCATAGCAAAAATTTTGATTTTCTTATTTATATAATTTTTTTCTTTTTCTTTTTTTTAAGAGACAGGGTCTTGCTATGTTGCCCAGGCTGGAGTGCAGTGGCTGGCTATTCACAGGTGTGACCCCACTACTGATCAGCATAGGAGTTTTGACCAGGGCCGGTTCACCCCTCTTTAGGCAACCTGGTGGTCCTCTGCTCCTGAGAAGTCACTATATTGATGTCGAACTTAGTGCAGATACCTGATTGCATAGTGCACTACAGCCCAGAACTCTTGGACTCAAGCGATCCTCCTGCCTCAATCTCCCAACTAGTTGGGACTACAGGTGCACACTACTATGTCTGGCTCAATTTTCTTATTTTTGGTCTCTTAGCATAATTATTATCTGTCTCTCAAGCAGCCTTCGCGAGAGCCAGGAACACGTCAGTGTTGTGCAGTGCTGTATCCTCAGCACCTAGTGGGATGCAAGGCAGATAAGAAGTGCGCCATCGATAGTGGGCTGACGAATAGTTCAGCAACGTGTGTAAGAATATCTTGGCTCTAGGTAGTTGTAAGCGTGCTCTAAGTAAGACGTATAACCCGTTACTCTGCTGATGTTCTGGAGCTCTGGGCACAGTTCTGGGTCACAAGTAGCGCATCCACAAAATGGCACATGACTGGAGGAAACTGTGACTTCAAACCAGTGGCTTTCAGCAAAAGAAGCTCAGTGTCTTTCGCTTGGGGAAGAGAAGGCTCAGGGAGCTCTAAGAGTTGTCCGCAGGTAGCAGAAGCCTTGCCATAGTATAGAATAAGAAGATTCATTTTGCATACATGGGGTGGGTTGACTTGAAGGGAGTGATCTCCCCGTCACTGGAGGTGGAGTTACCTTGGCGAGGATGTAAGATTAGATGACATTTAAAGTTGCTGTCACCCTTGAAGTGTCTACACATCCAAAAATAATTTTGAAATGCCTTCATAGGGCTTTGAAATGTCTTTTTACCTGCAGCAGGTAAGAAGAGTAGTCAATTCCTATTCCTATTCCTATTCCTATTCCTAGTCCATAATGCCTTCCTGAAACTGTTCTTTCTGGCCCTGTAAGTTTCTGTGTGTGTGTGTGTATGTGTGTGTGTGGCCTTTGTGGTGGATTAAATTATTATTGAACAAATATTCACTCAATATTCACTCTTTCTTCCTTCTCAGGATAGTATATAATTATCTGCTTCACTCATTTTAGGCATGGCTGAGTAACCAGTGTACCACAGTGAGAGTCCGCCAAAGCGTCAAATGTTTGCCTTTGCCCTGTGATGCTCCTGCCCCCATCATGAGACAAGATAGCCACGGGTCCAGAATGAAGAGACCTTTGGAACAGACCTAACCCAAGCCCAGCCAAGGCCAGCCAACCCATGAGTGAAAAGAAATAAAAGTCTCTTGTAAGCTTCTGAAATTTGGGGGTTATTTGTTACACAGCATCATCCCAACAAAACCTGACTGACGAGTCTTCATGGAATTCTTTCCATGGAACTATTCCAATACTCAGGCCTTTTTGCAGAGGGCCTCAGGTGTGAACTGCTTGCTGTGCTGCACACCATTGAGGAATCAGGGTTTAGTGAGTAGCTTTTTTCCACTCCAGACCCCTTTCCATGGCTGCTTCCTGGAGTGTGCAGCTCCTACATCAGCAGGATAATCAAGGTCCTTTGCAAAGTTCCATCTCCTTCTTTACAAGCCACTTCTGCAGGCTCTCAGAACTGTCTGTCCCTGACAAGGGCTATTCCTGTTCTAGAAGACATCAGTGTTCCGGGAGGACTTGAGGCTGCAGCAGAGGGGAGAAAGCAGCCGCAGGCAGTGCCCTCTGGAAGCAGAGGACGGAAAGTCGGCTGACGGCTCACGCAGCGCCAGCACGTGGTCACAGACTCAAACCAGGACGTTCCCTATGATGCCAGGTGAGCAGCTACTTAAGCACCTCTGCCTCCCACCTGCCCAGCACAGACACGCTGAAAAGTGGCTTTTAAAATGCCTTTGACTCTTATCTCTCTTCTGTCGTCCTCTGAAACGGAATCTCAAACAATTTAGTGGGGTTTGATGCAGAGAACAGTAAGCAGATCCAGGTTCAGGCAGAAACAGAACAGAAGGAGTCAAAAGCCCCGGAGAAAAGCATGCATGGGCTCGGAGAGGACAAAATAAAATAGCAGAGACATTTATACGGGTCTCCCCTACCTCTCAGAACAAAACAATTATGAGATAAGAGAGGCATGGATGGGAGGAAATTCTTTCATTTTTCACATTGCAAGCTGGAGAGATCCAATAGCCTGTTTATGAAGAACAATAAAGAAGATACATGAACTCAGTAAAGAGGTTGTTACAAATATATCGGATGGTTTTGAAAGGCCAGAGTTTTCTTCCTGCTTTTGGATAAAGCTGTCAGCTAAGTATTAAAAGAGTTTTTTTATTTTTATTTTTTTTTTGCTTTTGCTTTTTTTGCAAAAAGCAATAACTGGCACCAGCAGTTTGTTACAATTGGCAGAAAGAGTTATCACTTTTATTTAGGATTTGGAAATGCAATCAAAGAGGGGCAGATTGGAGCTTGAATTAAATGAAGCTTAAACAAGCAAAAAGAAAAATCTCGGCTGGTCTTTTAAACAAACAAACACAAAAATTACAGCTCCTTGTTGTTAATTTGAAGCTATAAAGAATTTGACACTCACACTTGATAAAATGGTGCCAAGCGGAATGATTGCTACTTTTTTGTGTGCGTTAAGTACTGAATGTTCTGATCATTTTAAAAGCAAAAACCCATTGTTTTTGCAAACTCTTTGGTGGGACCTGACCAGGTCGTTTGCATGAGAAATCACAGTGGAGTTTCATTCTGTTAGCTTTAAAGAAAATTATTTCTTTCTAGGATAATTTAAATAAATGAAAAAGCTGGAAGGCTCAGTTCTGTTTAGCTACCGGTTTTCACATTTGCTCTGTTATAATTCCTGAATACCAAATTGCCCCCCCCCCAAGTCTTGAAAACACCCCCACCTAACAGTTGCCCTCACATTATCATTTCAATTTTGTTTGGATTCATCCTGATACAGCAAGCCTTCGTATTATCTGGTAACTTCCTTTATTTAGATCACAGCTAAGAATCCAGATGGAAGCAAAAGGTTCCCCTGAGAAGACAGAAAGAGATGTCATAAGGCATTTGCCCTACCTCTCAGGCATCTTAGCATTACCTACGGGCCGACGGACTCGTTCAGAAAGACTCTTACCTTCCAACAAGAGCAGCGGTCTTGTTTAAAACCCCACAGTGAATTAGAAGTGAAGAGAGATTCTTCTGTGTGCAAGGACAGTGACCATCGGAAGTGACAGCTGACACTCTGATAATCAGAGGCAGAAAAACGACTAAACAGCCACGGATTCGCAGAAGTCAGCAGTTCAGTTCTGCTGAGCAAAGGAGTAAATACCTGTCCAAGTCTGGCTTCGTGCTTGGGGCTCCCTGGGATTGAATTTTCAGCCCTTGCCCTGAGGCGTGAGGGAAGGTTCAGGGCTTCCTTGTTGTCCCTTCTCTGTCTGGGGTCCAACTCCCTCTGGACGCTGCCCCACACTGCTCCCGTGCCTGTCCCACGCGCATGGGGCGTGCCTAGCGGGCTGTCGCAGACTTTGAGCATCACTCTGGCCTCCCGGACATGAGCCCTGAGGGACCTTGCGTGGCTTGTTCTGTGATGTCTCTTCGTGTCCCTACACAGTGAATTGTCCCCTATAAATACATAGTGAATGAATAAGTTCCCTATAACTTTCACAATGGCATTGAATAGAAAGAGTGTGAGTTTTTTTTTTATTAGCTAACGTTTTCTAAAAAGAGCCAATGTTTAGAGAAAACCCTCCTGCTTTGTAAGCATGCCCGCCATCTCCTCTCCACACCCCTTTCCTCGTTCCCCTGTCTGCCCATTGTCCTTTGGTGTCAGATGGCGCACCCCGACATTCAGTCGTAGGAAAAGATACAACTGCGGTAGGAGGAAGCAGTGCAAATTGCATCTTATTTCCTCAATGAAATTATACTATGTTCCCATAAGGGGTATATTCCTTATTTATAACTTTTTATAAAAACACTGGGTCTTTAAATCCTGAAGCATGTGTTAGTGTGGAGTCAGCCCCACAATTGAATTCTACCTCTTCCAGCTAACAGCTTTGTAACCTTGGACAAGTCTTGTAGCCTGTGGTAGGCGTTAGTGTCCTCATCTGTGAAATTGGGAGAAATACTTACTTTGCAGGACTGTCGTGAGGATTAAACTCAATAATGTATGTAAAGCACCTTGTGCACTACCTGGCACGTAATAAGTGCTCAATAAATTTTAATTCCTTTTCTTCCCTCTCCTTTCTCCAATTCAATCAAGCATTATGATAGATGTGTTTCCTGTGCAGTGTAAAGCTTTTTAAAGTGCATATAAATCAATTAAATAGGGCAATGCTGTAACTGATCACATAACATTTATTTAAGAGATCCCAGGGCGAGGGGGAGAAGATTAGGGGCTTGTGGAAACCTTTAGAGAGACCCCAGGACATGGCTGTTCAGGGGTCTCCTGAAAAAGGCTCTCCTGCGATGAGGCTTGTGCGCTCTCCGCTGTGGGTTCTATGAGAAAGGGCAGGGTGGCGGCCGGGCTGTGGCTCCTGATTGGGGTTGTGGCCCTAGATGGCTCTGGCTGCTGGGCGGGCACCATAGGAAGGGGCAAAATGATCTGAAGAGTCACAGAAATGGCTGTCCAGTCTGACTTCTAAGTGCAGGGTTTGTGAACTGATGATCTCCTCTCTGAGCGCAGGAGACAAACCAGGTGACCCAAGTCTAAATCGCTCCCCTCTTACCTGTTGTGGAAAGAAAGGCACCTTCATGGGCCCTTCCCCCTTCAACTGCTTTAGGGCACGAATGTGGAGGGCAGGATCCTCGAGGCTTTACATGGGTAACTTTGGTAAATGCCCTTATTGGGTACATGTGGGGTTGGGGTATGCCAGGGACGGAATGCAAAGAGTCGGGGGTCTGTAAGGGGTGCGCATGCAGTGGCCAGAGAATGGCCTCCAAATGTGATTCAGATTCGAGGCAATCCTAAAATATACCCCAGAACATCATTTTCCCTGGAAGGGCAGGGATTTCTGTTTGTTTATGCGCAGTTCCTTGCTTCTCTGCACCCTGGTTGATTCATGTTTTAGAGCAGGATTTAGAGGCGGCATTGCCTAGAACAAGCCATCCCATCGTGTGAGGTTGTCTCTGCCATTCTTCAAGGTCAAGCCCAAGGACTTTCTCTTCACCAGATATCCCTGCTGTCTGCCAGACATTTAAGTCCTTCTCTCCTTCCACTTGGTCCCTCCCTACTCCTTTCTCTCTGTGTGGCCTGGTGTTTTTCTCTTACTTCCAACCCTTGTGCTGTCTCCAGGGATGAAGTAGGAACTGTTGCAAGAGTGTAGGACCTAGGACTCTCTTTGTCTGTAGTCTGTCCGTTTCTTGCATTTCTGCATGTCTTGTGAGCAGAGGCACCGATGCCTTTTGTTCCAGACTGTATCTTCTGGGATGTTTGTATAGCAAACGGCCTTGGAAGGTAGAGAAGTGTCTCTCTCTGGGGGAAAGCAGGTACTTTTATTGTGCAGTACAGTAAAGGTAATGTTTTTCTCCAGGGCAAAGCTCAGGCAGGCTTATGCACATTTTAAAAGGCTCAAGTTTCCTAAGCTTGAGGTCTCTCAGCTGTGCAGCAACCCAGTGTGTGTGCAGCAACCCAGTGTGTGTGCAGCATTCACCTGGGCCCTCCCCTGTCCCCCCTGCCTGCCCATTGCCCCGGGAGGGCAAGAGGAGCTGGTGCGAGTGTGATAGTCATGCTTGCTGGACTGTGAGTAAGAAAGTGCTTTGTTTCTGACCCAGGAGGCTCATGTCTTTTTCCAGCATCCATGAAACTGCAGCAGGATAACTTGTTAGCTTGCAAGTAAGATAAAATCTAGGACCCTTTCCAGCTCTTGATAGTGAACACCTCACAGCAGGGGATGAGTGTTGTGCAGGGCTTGGGTCAAGGTTATGCCCACGTGTAGGAGGCATTCAACCTGGGTAGCAACTTTCTTCTAGTGAGCTCTCTTGTCCCCCCCACCTCTCTCTTTCTCTCTGCCTCCCTTGCACTTCTTCATGTTAGGATTTTCTGCATCTCTGGGCCTTGCGAGAAGACTAGAAGTTTTTTTCTCTTCCCCTTTCCCTGGGGATGGGATCTCTGGGTTCCAATGAACTCTGTCATCCTCCTCTCTGCAAGGTGAATTCTGGGGCAGGTCTTCTGGATCTAACTCTTTTTCCCCTTCTACTTGGTTGCTCCCTGCTCTTTTCTCCAGCAGGTGTGGCTTGGTGCTGCTTCTCTTCCTCCCAATCCAGTCCTCCAAGGTCCACTTACCCTCAAGTCTGGTTATACCCCTTGTTTGGTGAGTTTGGGGTTGACTCCCAGCTGCTGGAAGAGAAGAGTGTTTGAGGGATGCCAGCACTGAGGGCAGACTTGCTGGAGACCCTGGCCATGTGAGGCATATTGCTGGTCATCCTGCGTCTTTTCCTGGCCTGCCTCAGGCTGCAGTAACGTGAGCACCTGTCTCTGCAAGGATCAGACGGGGAGCCTCTGCCAGGCAGGGGCTGGGCCTGCTGGCCCTATGCATCCCCTACCTGGCCCTTCCCCTCCCCACCCAGTCCCCAGCACGGTGCCTGGCACATGCTGCAGTGCACAGTGGCTCAGATGAGCAAATGCAGTTGGACCAGAGTCAAAGTTTTTCTGTAGTGGGCAGCCGGCACTTTGCTTGCTAGTTTCTTTCTCTTTATTTCTACCCTGTAATTTTCTTCTTCTAACTACATCATGCGATAGCACCTTTCTTAATCTGCCCTTCCTGTTGAAAAATACTAGCAGTCATGATCAAGCAATAGAGCAGCTTGACTGAGCATGCCCAGCCACGAACCCCACAATGGCCATGCTGGATGGAGCTCAGGGCTCACCTTTCCGGGGAGCACGGGGAGGAAGTGCAGAGAGACGGGCCCTTACAGGGACATGCTGAGGCTCAAGAGGAGCCCAGAAGAGGAGAGATCGACATGGCTAGGGTGGGCAGGAGAGGGGGGCTTGTGCTGGGCCCACTGAACCCTCAGCGTTCGTCAGTACAGGTTGAGCACCCCAAAGCCTAAATTCTCCAAAATCCAACACTTTTCGAGTGCTGAAGTGAAGCTCAAAGGAAATGCTCATTGGAGCATTTCAGATTTTTGGATGAGAGATGTTCAACCAGTATGAATAATGCAAATATTACAAAATCCAAAAAAACCCCAAATCTGGAACCCTTACAGACCCAATCATTTCGGATAAGGGCAACTCAACCTGTAGCAGACTGGAAATCCCTGAATTTGATGAGATATTTACTTCTTTGGGGCAGCAGGACTGGAGGTGAACTTGCGCAGATCCGCTTGCATCCTTCAGTGTCTGAAGAGATATTTTTGGGTCTTGCCTTCCTCTGGACCCTTCCTCAGTCATTCTGAAGGGCAGACAATTGCATTCGCTCAATTCTATCCACAAAGAGGCATGCGTTTCACCTGCTTTAGGTGATAAAAGTTTCTCCCTTTTAAATGGATGATGGAATGAATTAAGGAACGTGAAGAATTCCGGAAGACTGTGCCGGGCCTTGTGCCAGGCACTGGTAGACAGTGGTAAACAGAACAGGCACGTGCCTGCTCTTGGGGAACTTGCAAGCTATCGAGGGGGACAAATGAGTCATATATGCAAACTGTTATCATGCTTTGCAGGGAAAGAGTGGGGTGCTCCGGAGTGAGTAACAGAAGGGCCCATCTTGGGTAGGGGGGCCAGGGAGGGTTGTGGAAGCGACGTTTCTGCAGAGCTGTAAGGAGTGAGTATGGGGGAGCTGGGTGCTGAGTGGGAAGAAGGCTGCTGGGCGGAATAAAGCATTCTGGGCATGCAATGCAGAAGGAGCACAGTGGATGAAAGGGTGCAGACAAAAACAATGAGCCAACTTACAAAGGATCTGAGAAACGGGCTGATCTAGGTCTTCGTGCTTGATAGACATACTGAGCTTCTTGCCCCCTGGCTGGCCCCAAGCAGAGGCTTCCGTGGGGTGAGACCACTGGGGGCGCCTTGGATGTGAGACTGGATCATGGGAACTCATAAGCGGTTTTCTAGGCCCATGGCGACTATGGAGTCCTCGTCCTGTCCCCCCTCATTCTGTAGTATGTTTTTGCAAGTGCTTTGCCTAACCGGACTGCCTACACTCAGTTTCCCCTGGCTGAGCCTTCGACCTGCCATGAAGTTCAGAGTCTCAGTCCCTGCTGCAGAGCTCGGGGGCCAGGGCACCTGTGGCAGAGCTCAGAGGGCAGAACCGCCTGCCATGAAGGTCGGTGGCCGTGGCACATGGTACATAGCAGCTTTTTGTGCCATGGTTGAGAGAAGCTCATTTAATATTTTCTAGCATTTTCCCAATTGAATGAGTGGTCCGTGGGTGCCAGGAGCATGCTCATCTGTCAGTTTTGACAATAGAACAGAGTGTATATTATTTATGCTAAAAATAGTCTGTACAAATGACGAGGCTCCGATGGCAGCACCAATGAAATCCTCACACTCTGCCAGGCCCCTTTCCCTTGGAGGTGATTGACAAAGTAATTTTCTGTTGTGTTTTAATAACCCAGAGTGTATCACACGCGGCAGTGAGCCTTTGCAGCCCGGTGACATCACTCAGGCCCTGCCCTGCCCTGCCCACTCCCATCTGGAGTGGTCACTGCCATATCCTCTCTCAGTGGGT